TCTCCTGTAGAACTTGCACTTAGTAGCTGTGCAGCTGTGAGATTATGGCAATCGCACCTGCATAGTCTTTATGAGGAAGACATCAAACTGCAATCAAATGCAAAATGCATCTCAGAATGTCGATGAAAAATTTAAAGAGAAAAAAATAAATAAAATAATAGAATGGTGGAAATAATAGAATAACAGAGACAAAAGAAGAGAAATAAAATGAAATAAATCAAATTAATGATAAAATGAAGTCAAAGACTAAACTGAAGTAAAACATTAGAGGGAGCAAGAAGATTGTGCTTGAAAAAAAAAAAAAATATAGTGAAGAAAAAAATAGAGTCAGCAAGGAAATAAAACAAAGTAAAACGATAAAATAAATTTAAAAAATATAGTAAAGTAAAAAGTAAAATAAATACACGGACAAATCCAGGCAGATGGAAAATATCCTAGTTGCCCGTCCAACTCGACGTTAAATACCGGTTTTAAGTCACTAAAATACATCGTCTAGTGAAGCTCAATCGGTAGGGTCGTCGGTTAATGTTGGGTAGGTCCCGGGTTCAATCCCCAAGGTGGATGAAAAAGTTCTAATCTGCAAAATCGATTCAATAACATCCCAGTGGTTTCATTATTTTTATTTTTCATGGTTTCTAAAATTATTTCCACAATTAACCCTTTTCCACCATCCCCTAGCTGCGAACCCCTAAATTGATTCAATATTGGTGTAGTATTGTCTCAATATTGATATCCAAATACTTTCCCTTTGAAGTACTGGCACAGTATTCTCAGCCAAAGTATTGGCACAGTATTTATGCCAAAAGGAAAGATGGTGTACGATTTTAACATTGGCTCAATATTTAACCAATATTGGCCCAATGTTTGCATAAATACCAAAACAATATTGTTTAAATATTGGCTAAATATTCCTGTCTTATCTGGGAGGTACTTGATTTGACTCCTCATCCTGATTAAAAAGCATCACCTAGTCTCATTATATCACGAAGGGTAACGTCGAAACTCCAAGTATCGACAAAATGATACGTTCGTCACCTATCCCAACTTTCAAAAACCATCTCACACTCGAGAGTCTCAATTGGAAACTTTGAGATGGAACTATTTACAGAGTTGTTCAGGCACCTTTATAATTTAGCCTTGGATATAGGAAACCTATAAATCTTGGTCGTGTATTTTCATGCCTCCCCACGTTGCTCCAAATTTTTTTCCGAATTTCTCTTTCTTTTGTAGAAATCAATAAGCTGGTAACAAAGTGAAAAAACCTCATTAATTGTGAAAATGTAGGTATTTATCTTAAAACGCATTATTTCTTGACTTTGATTAAAATTAATCCGATCTTGCAAATTGCCCTTGATGATGAAAATTCAGAGGAGGGGTATGTACTTAAAATGGCGGAAACTTCAATTTTTTAAAATTCAAAAAGTTAAGAGGGGGGCGAGAGTGGTTAACGTAAAATTATTATGACGTACATTGCATCATTTTGCATTTCTGTGATTTCATATCACAATATAAAAATAACTGAGAGGCTGAATGAAACATTACGACAGTAAGGTATAATGTAATTGCATGTATGCAATGAATCTCCGTGGGTTAACAAGCAACATAAAAGAAATAAGTTTCCTCAGTTGTTTCATGACATTAAGTATAAAGTATCACCTTTAAAGCGAGGAAATTTTCTCGCAAATTACTCACAGTCACTTAATCGATCCTTTCCCGCCCAATCAGATTTATTGAAAATGATTTCTTCTGTAAAAAATTGAGTACAACTTTACATGAATCAAGTTGTATTCACCTGATGCTAACCCATATATCTGTTGAAAAATTGCAAACCCTCTGCTCGCGTTGATATACAGATAATCATAATAGCAGTTACTGAAGAATTGGAAAACAACTCTTGAGTTTTTTTTTTTTATTTTATTTGCACGTACAAAGAGGTAGGCTGGTGAGTGTTGGAGCGAAATGAGAAACATTTTTTTCCCTTATCTTTTTTTCTTCCCATTCCTTTTCTCAGAAAAAGCCACTGGAAAGTTTTCATTTTGAGTACAACTCGGATCACGGCTCCTAATGATCAATTTTTATCCCAAGTCCTTGATCCCCCTCTTTCTCTTCCAAAACGAGATTCATAGGGTCGTGTCATTCGTGTAATAAGATAGCATAGCACCAAATTGAGCTGGAAGGCAATCAGAACAATGTCTTCTACTTTTAAAATGCGATTTTCATAGAAACCCTGGTAAAAATTGGCAGTAGAATGTGTGTTCCAAAATACTATAGACCTAAAGCCGGCTGTAAGATTTCCAATAGCTTCTGTAGCCGGCTGTACAATTTCTTATAGCCTTTTATAGCCGATGGCGATTAAGCAACAGCCAGACGATAAAGTTTATGCTAAACGTTATTACTAAATACGGATACTAGGACTTAGTTATTTTTTGGACTACTGCTCTCTTTTTGATCTTGATTTATTTTGCGAGGAAAGCTCCGTACATTTGAAGGATGACTGTCATTCTTAATATGTTGGAACGTCTTCAATTTCTTATGATACTGTGCAATACCTCTGGTGTGAAATAGTTGCTTCAGACGCCGTGGTACGCTGCGGCGCGGCGGGCGGGCAGGGAGTCCGAAACGCGCATTGGCGCCTACAAACCTAACAGGGATACTTCACGCATTGCGCAATGCGTGAAGTATCCTTGTTAGGTTTGTAGGCGCCAGTGCGTCGCCGCTCCGCTTTGTGTTAGGCTCCAATATTTAATCTCGCGGAGTCAGCGTTTTTCAACTCATGATTTTGAAATGTTTGCACACTCTGTATGGACTATTCTCATTTTAATTGATGAAAAAAGAAAAAAATATGTTTTAAAGGAAAATAAAATGTGTGTTCTGTAAATATTAAGTAAGTTCCGTATCAAACTTATTGATTTCCAAAGCACACGAATTTCTACACAATTTCTTATAGCCTTTTATAGCCAATGGCGATAAAGGGTAAAGCCTGGCGATAGGAACTAATAGCCCGACTGTATACTTTTTTATTGCTTCGTATAGCCCGGCTATATAATTCGCTCCGCTTTCTACAGCCAGCTATATGATTTTCAATAGCCCTCTTTAGTCGGCTATAAGAACTCCTATGGTATTTTGAAACGCAGCTCCTATCGCCAATTTTTACCAGGGAAGTAGAACCGCAACATTTTTCAAATATTTGGATCTCAAATATATGCACAGTTTTACCTACTTTCAGAACTTTCATCAAAGCTCCTAACTTTGAACATGTTATTTTCATAAGACCCCAATAAGATTCTTAAAAATCCGTCGAAAAATGTCTTTTTCTCCCAATTTCTACGAGCATTGCATAAAAAAAAAGAAAATCCGAAAAGTTGTTGACAAAAGTGGGGAGAAAATTGAGAATTAACAAGTAAAGCGAAAGTGTAGCGGTGATTCAACGTAAAAGCAAGCCCGATTTGCGTGTGAGGCCCCGCTTCTTTCGCTCTTCATTAGAGAGATTTTTGAATCCAGTATTGGCAGGAGCAACAGCACGCAAAACAGAGCCGAGCATTTCAACAGTGTCCGTCAGTACGCAAAATTACAAGTGCAATCGTCCTAATTTTTTCCACGTCGCACAATTCAAGATGTTTCATCGTATTTGTTTTTTCTTCTACACCTCAGTAAGTCAACTTTATTATTTACATCGCTGCAACTATAAAAATGTGAACTTCTCGTCGGACACAGGACAGTGGATCATATTTTGAGCTTAAAGAGAGCCCAAATAGTATATAGAAGGTACCTTGCATGCGTTCCATCTCAGTGGCGATTTGTTTCCCTCTAAAATCCAATACTTTTGAAAGAAATGATAGATTTATAAGGCTTTAATGAGATTATTTGAACTAGAAAGTTCACAAATCTGTCCTCTGGTTTGGTGAATAGTTAACTGTTAGAGAGAAAAGATGAATGCGTGAATTAATTGCGATGGTGCACGAGACTCATACATCGGCACCCATTTTTTTTAATTTAATGTAATTAATGAATGTTTTACCGGTCAAAATTGATGCATTTTTCTGATTATGAAAATAATTCGCTTTCACCACAGTAAAGAAATGTGCGTCAGTGCGTATAATGCATGCGTGTGTCGGAAACGGGATAGTCAGCTCGGAAATGTTGTTCTATTATGTGTCTTGTATCATACCTTCTGAGCAGTCGAACAAAAGAATGTATACAGTACAAGTAACATCCTCTGAGAATTTCATTGAAAATTTGCACGGAGACTTCAAAATTTTTAAAACGCATTTTACAAAATCGTGCCTTTAAAACGTCACCAACTAAATAGGTACGTTGCGGTACGTTGCGGTACGTTGCGGTACGTTGCCCGCGCGTCGGTCTATCGAGCAAATAGTTTCATCGAGAATCTAGCACATTTTGATGAAGTAATAATATTAATAATAGATGATATTTTGTCGTTTTTAAATGATTAAAAAAATTGATTTTTAGCTTCTGATAACTATTCAGTACTGAACATGAGCATACGTTTAGATGTCCTTAAAATTGTTAAGCCGTTGAGCGAGATGGCCGCCTGTACGTGATAAAACATGGCAATAATAACATCAATTTCGATGGCTAAATTTAATACGCTCGAAGTTCCAAAATAAAACAAGATAAACTATCTCGAACAATCACTCAATGTTTAGTAACAATAAGTACAACGCAGCACTATTTTTGATTGAATAGCTTTGATCAAATTCAGTGTAACCACATTTCACGTCGCCTACTTATTTTTCTCTCTTGTATTGTGCTCAATAGGAAAACGTAATGCCTCAAATAACGTGCCTTGGCATATTCTAAGAATTTATTCTAAATTATAGAGAATGTAATAAAAAAATGGCAAGTCAGAGTGTCATTCAGTTCTTTTTCCAGAAAAAAGGAAACCATGGCAGAAAATTAGGTAACGTCTTGTGCAGTTAAGCTGGTTCTTCTCCCACTCATCAATTTATAACATTAATCTATAAATTAACCACAATTTACCAATAATTTACTAAATATTACCGATACTGTTAATACTACTATTCTCACTGCTACTACTACTACTACTGCCACCACTACTCATACTACTGCCACTACTACTACTTCTACTATTACTACTACTACTACTACTAATACTACTACTACTACTACTACTACTACTACTACTATTACTATTACTACTACTACTACTACTACTACTATTACTACTACTACTACGACGGGTCACCCCCGTCGCCGAGTCCGTGAATTGGGCATCAGCCAGTCCGTTTGAAAGGTTTGAAGGTTCGGAAAGGGTTGAAGGGTTGAAGGGTTGAAGGGTTGAAGGGTTGAAGGGTTGAAGGTAAAGGTTTGAAAATGATGAAAACCGGCCGATCGTTAATTTTAAATGCAATCTATATGTTATTTGACGAATGGCCTCTAATGACCGAATTCTGACGCATTATTCGCGAGGTTTTTAAACACGCTTAAAAAGGTCAAAACAACTTAAAGGTCATGTGAATATATTATACAGCCTATTCTTTTTTATTTCCTCAAAATTTTTCAATGCAACACTATTTTTTTATGCTGCTTACATTTTCAGTATCCTGAATGTTTGTGTTGCATGTTAAAAAATTGGAGGAATTTCCGCTTTACAAAGACAAGGAGTTGACTGAAGCGCCTTGATGTAACTACTCGTGTTCTGCAGATGTGCGTGTTGCATGTTCAAAATTGAAGACACTTATGCTTTTTTCACTTATTTAGAGATGCACGATCGTCAGTTGTAGTACTCTAATAAGAGAGTGTCTATATAGGGAGAGCATTACCAGTTGGTGACAAGAGGCCAGAGCACTAAAATCAATTTATAATTGACTTAAAATAAAGAACTAAGCGCCAGAAATGAAAACAAAAGAAAAACATTAGAAACTATAGTAATCGACCCATTTTAAATCGTAGATTACATTATAATGTGATATGATTCGTCACTTTAATATTCCAGAGCTCTGAGTTTTAGAACGAGTTGATTAATACGTTTTTTACTGTTTTCCTCGTATTGTAATTTCTGACGTTTAGGTCTTTAATAGAATGCCCGACTGATATCGGTGATTATATGAACCTACGAAGTACCTCGACCTGCGTTAGTTGCGGTACCTTGATGCAACTATTTCCGTTCCAAGTAAGTGCGTGTTGCATGATCAAAATTGAAGGCGACCACACTTTTCTCACCTCTTCGGAAATGCATGGACGTTGTCGTAAGTTGTAGCATACGAATAACAGAGTGCGCATGAAAAGGAAGTAGGTAATGCACCCAAATCCTTTCACAAAAGGAAGTGCCGCTGTCTGATTGGTCAACGAATTTCAGACTTTCATGGATTTTCTGATTTTCAACTTTTGAATTATTTCCTAAGCAAAACTTGATGAATATTTTTGCTGAGAATCCTTTTCTTGTTAGTTTCGTTCATATTTCCCTCAGTAAAATGAATGTACATTAATTTTTTTGTTTACTCGGATACCGGATTTGTAAAAAAAAAAAAAAAAAAAAAAAAAAAAAAAAAAAAAAAAAAAAAAATAAATAAATTCAAAACTCTTCAAATAAATTTAAAAAAAAATGTGAACTTGATTTACGTAACTTGTACTTATAATTTGCATTGGTGGTATTGGTTTTTATTTTGATAATTTTGAATTGCGTTAAAAATATCAAAAAATATTTGCCAGAAGTTGGCCAGCGGGGGACATTTGTCGGTTAGCGTATGGTTTACAGCTAATTTAACGATCGGGCGGTTTGGCATAATATTCAGACTATAGACCGGCCAGTCCGCGAGTTGGCTGCCCAGTTCTGCAGCTATAACTGCGGCTGGGCTAAAATTTTCACAATGCTGTCTTGTGATTTTTCAGAATGACAATACTATAGTGATTAGATCCTAGCAGTCATAATTTCCTCTTCAGCTCTATGAATGTATTTTGCATCACTGATGTTTCATGAAGCGTTTCTTGTTTTTCAAGTGTTGGTATAAATTGTTTCAGATGCTCATCGTAATGAGAATAAAGATGGTCGTATCAGATACAGAAAATATACTGATGAACAAAGAAAATGTAAGCACGTTTATATCGGAGCAACCAGAGTTTGTGGCTCAACCATACGGTGGCCCAGGATCATCTCTTGGTATAACTTACGATAAAAAAATTCTAGCCGACAGCTCTGCTCGAAGATTGTTGAAGACATTGTCTCTCTCACCTGCGTTTGCAAAATTTGGAATGGCCCCAGCGACGGAATCTAAATCCAAACCTCTACCTGAGCCTGAAAAATCAACCAAACCATTTCGAATATCTTTTCCATTTTTGTCAAAACCCATACCTTCTGCTCCACCTACTCCATCACCACCTCCTGAGCAGCCTCCTGAAAAGTCACCAACGCCTAGCAAAGAAAATCCAGCCATTCCTCTTGAGCCACAACCGGCTGTAAAGCCATCCTCTCCATCTTTTGCACCTCAGACAACTTCATCGGGCGGATCTTCAGCAACATCTTCAACAACTTCTCCTAACGGTGCCGAGAAGTCTCCTTCTCAGTCCAACCTTCCTGTAAGCTCCTCAAGTTCAAGACCATTTAAGCCGCTTAAATGGAACTTTATTCCCTGGCTAAAGCAAACAAAGAAGCCAAGCTCATCAACAGCACCTGAACCTCAAAATCCTCAGGGGACTACCGCTTCCACTCCACCGAACAAGTCAGTATCTGCAAGTTCATCATTTAAGACAGACGAATCATTAACTGGATCTGAAAGATTTGCAGAGTCCAAGCTACAAGTATCCCCTGTATTACAAAAAAATTTTAAACAACAACAGCAGGTACAGGCAAACAAACTTTCATCCTCCACAGCAGAGACTCCACTGAAATTGAATACCCCGTCAGCGCATAAGAATGCATCACCAAGCTTTCAAGTATCTAATGTTGCATCATCTTCTGAATCAATAACACCCTCAACAGCAGAGCTTCAGAAACAACCAGCTGCCGACCATTTAGAAACCCCTCCGCCTCCCCATCAAAAAATTAACCCGACTTCACCTTCCAAAGCCGTTGTCTCCGGAGCAACAAGCCATAGCTCCAGTGAGGGTTTCAGTTCGTCGTCAAAATTCATCTCACCCGAATGGAAAAGTACCGCTTACACCGCGCCAACACATGATCCTGCACCTTTAAATTCTCCGAATACTTCATCATTAGCATCCGAGTCAGTTACGCCAGCTGTGTCACCATTACCCTCTCAGTCTACCGCACCAACAAAAGGAGGGATACCTGGGAATCCATTGGATACATCTCCAACGACATCAGACTCAGCAACAACAACACAATTACAATCCCCAAAACCGACCGCTCAAACACCCGAAGTTGCAGGTGAGAATTTTCAAAATTTGAAGTCACCGGCATCTGAATCAGCCACACCAGCGGTTTCATCTTACTATGAGAATAATTCTGAGAATATTCCGAATACTTCTGCGTCGTCATCCGGGGTTGCAATACCGATAGTCTCATCGAGACCCCAGAAACCTTCGATCCCAACGCACCAAACAGCTCCCTCGGATGCACCCATATTTTCTGCTGAATCAAATCGACGCCCTGGATCCATCACACCCTCAATACCAATAAACAGTTCAGGAACAAAACCACCCCCGAGAAATAGATTCTTTTCATGGCCAACTTTCAAACCTTCCTCATCATCAAGCACTGCTGTGCCTGGGAAGACTCCTGAAACTTCTCTTCAGGTATCTGATAATACTAAGTCGAAGCAAGAGACCCCAATCATTTCGTCACCTGCATCGGCATCACCAACTTCAAATGCATCATCCGTTTCTCAGTCACATGAACCGTCTAAATCCGAGTCACCTGCCAACTCTAGTGTACCATTGGCAACAGGAGCTCAAAAAAGTGACATTTCATCACCAGTGGAAAGGTTGAAACAACCCTCAAGATTCAATCTTTCTCCTTGGCGAACGTCAAAAACTTCCTCACCGGCAACAGGAACCACGCCAGAAAATCTCGCCGAAGCCTCACCAACATTTCAGTCGGCCGTAGCAGTAACGCCACCGGCACAAACAATTTCAGCAGCAGGCACCCAGATATCAGGGATGGGAGACGAAAATTCCAGAGCGTCATCCTTAAAATCTAAACCAGCAATGAGTGGTTTTAACTTTTCTAATTTTTTCTCCTGGAGAACTCCGAGATTTAATAAATCATCTCCACCCAAAACTCAAGCACCAAGTAAAACTGAGACATCAACTTCCACGTTGGCTCCAACCACGGAACAACTAGCAACGACAGCTTCAACGACTTCCTCAACAAATAGCGCATCCGCTTCACCGATTCCAGATGATAAAACTACCCCTCCGAAACCTACACAAAGTAATACATTGATCCCTCCTGAAGGATCTAACTTTAGATTCAATGCATTTTGGAAGCCGTCTAAATCATCAGCGGCGTTTACCAGTGACTCTGGCGCTAAATTTAACTCTGCAGCTTCTACAAGTGCTAAACCAGAGGAAACTTGGAAATTAAACGAGACTCCTAGTCTTCCGCAATCCTCATCGAATAATCTGTTCCAAACTTCATCATCGCCATTCTTGCAAGACTCTCCTAATGTACAAACAAAGTTAGAGTCATCCATAGAGTCATTGAAGACAGCAATGCACTCGCTTGGGTCTCCGCCAAGAATACCACCAAATCCTCCGATGCAAGCTCCATTGATTCCCAGTGTGAACTCGGGTGGCAATCAACCACAGCAGAAACCTTCCTCACCAAGTTCCTTCATGTCATCCTGGTTTTCTAGAAGACCCTCAAAGTCGTCCCCCTCTACCTCGTCATCCCCATCGTCTCCTTCTTCAGCGTCCTCGGGTTCCGCGACATCTGAATCCTCTTTAACAGCGACACCCACAAGTACCGCAGGGTTCCGCTCTAAACAAAAGAGATCGGCAACTACCGTGAACTTCAATTCTATATACGGCTCCATCGTGAATGGAATTTCATCGATGGGGAGACGATTCGAGAGATGGTCATCAAGAAGAAGATCATTGCCGGGTAAACATGCCGCTCTACCCAGTAGCCACGGCGGCTTAGATACAGGAGAGGATGGGGCGTCATCCCTGACAAACAAAGAGAAGCTAGATCCTGATAGTGCTGAAACTCAAGAGTTTGACGATGCAGAGATAGAGCAAATGATGAGTGATATCCAAAAATACAACACATTTTCCAACAGCCATGAGGAATCCTCTGAAGAGGATGATGAAATGTCCAATTCGATAGAGGATTCGAGTCAACTCTCGCCGCCAGAGGAATTGGCAAGGAACGAGGATGGACACCTACTGCCGCCGAGTGAATAGTTATCGGACAATCGTATACTATTGAACACAAAACCTGCAGAGCATAAGGATAGCTTTAAGAAGGAAACTTCCAATAACAAAAGCACAATATTCAATAAAACTGAAGATTTAAATAAAACCACCCATCATCCGATCACAAGTAAGGACGTGTCCGTAACAAATGGCAACCCACATTTGTTTAAGGGTATAAAATTGGATGTAGGTACCGTGAAGGAACAGGTTACTGAGCCAGTTTACAATTCTCGTAAAAATGACAATATAAGAACTAAAGATACTCTAAATATAAAAGAAATTTCAAATGCACTTTCGCCGTCTAAGCAATTCGAGGATGGATCTGTAGTGCAACTAGATAAAATGCCTGCAGTAACGACGAATAATGACGAAAATAAACGTCCAGTTTCAGCTGAAATTGAAAATGATAGATCGGGTGATCCGATGGCAGGGATAAAGCAATCCTTACAAAAATATCCGGGGGCTCATGAATACGATCAAATAGACAATGATCGCAATATTTTGAGGAAAAAATCTGAAAATCATAATAAATTTGCACCCGAATCAGAAAATTCCAAAAAACTAGCAATAGATAAAACACAACCCTCATTAAAAACTGATTCAGATACGAATGAGCCTACAAACTTAAATCTAGCCTCAAATAATAATAGTAAAGATCTCATTCTGAACAAAGCAAATTTAGAAGAATTACATCAGAAGCAAAGTATCCGTACCCAGTTAGAGGATTTTAAGGGGAAGCGTTCGATGAATTTGAGAAAAAATATGATTTAAAAAAAGCAGCGGCTCTTATCACTGGCGAATATAGGGGAAAAGCGCGCGTGTCCCGATTTGTGACGTTGCAGGATTCCCTTAAAAATTTATTTTTTAAGAAGATTTTTATTACTCCCGCATCATTAATGCTCAAGATTTTGTTTGATTAATTCTCATCATTCAGACGTTAACACTGAATATTTCATTAAATTATGTCAAGAAATATTCTCTTGTAAAATATCCCAAGAGTGGAAATTTTAAAACTCCGCGATCAAATTACGTTTTTATTTATTTATATTATTTTATTTTTTATTTTTTCATTATCGACTCGCTGTTTCTCAATGGATTCTTTTTTCTAACAACAGTGTGAAATGACTCGCTATCAAATAGGAGAAGAAAAGGAAAGTATTTCTGTCATGTCATCATTTTCATTTCAATTACCTCATTTAAGACATCATTTAAAACAGAGGGACAGAAAATATGTACTCATGAAAATGGATAGATGGACACAATGATTACTGGGGCACAAGTTTTTAGAGGACTGTACTCTCCAGTTCCTTTTATTAATGCATTCAAGATGTTCCGCGCTCATTTTTACCAGTTCGCCTTCAATAAACTGGTAGGCAATGTGAGTGGCTCAGGAACAGTAATAGTTGCTTGCAATAGGCTAGTCTATATTTCCCATGAAATTAATTTATGCTAATACTGGGCTGTACCTCATTTTGCTCTAATATCTCATTCATCATGATCAGTTTCCATTAAATTATTAGAACGTTTTTAGAGAAATGTTCGAGCTCTAAGCTCTAAGGTGCAAATGGGATACTATTTTTTTCATTGAACGAACAAAATGTTGAAATGATCTAATACATTCGTCTGGGATCAAAAGACTTTGCAATACCTATAACATGTGGCTATTGATTTAACGGTATTGCTTTAGGAGCGCTTTTTGGTTTACATCTTACACTAGTTAAACGTCACTATGCAGAGGGTTCGTGGGTAAATGATTTGAATCCAAAGAGAGTTTCAAAGAAGAACGTATATTTCTGTATTATTACCCATGTTATTGTTAATGGACTTATTTTAATTCTCTCCGTAAACTGATTCTTCCTGTGCGATGAAATGCACTCAACTGTGTCGCTTGGTTTTAAAAATTGGAGCATCTTTTCAATCTGTAAGATTACTCCTACTAAATAATTCTGAGAATGACTTATTGAATGTAACAAACAAATTGAAAACCAATTGTGGTCTTCATTCAGGAGTATTCTGGGATTCATCGAGTGAATTTCTGTGTGGTACAAAGATAGGACTCTATCATTTATTTATTTATTTATCTATTTATTTATCTATTTATCTATTTATCTATTTATTTATTTATTTATTTATATTTACGTCAAGTCACCGATTGCAGTTCCTACAAAAACTCATATTAACCTATCCAACGCGTTCCATGAGTGAATTATGGGCTTAATTCTATAACTTAGATTACGTAGCTTAATTTATTTATTCTTCTAGATTAGGTTCTCTGAATAGCACAGAAAATTAGCTAGGAAAGAACATGAAAATTCTTTCAACTAGCTGATAAAACAGTGACAGGGGTCGATACCAACCGTGATAGCAATTCAGCCATTCCCATGAATTTCCAAAAAAATCTTTGGACTGAAGTTGAAATTACCACATATGTAAGTACAGCGCTACAAATAGAGTCTGTTATCACTTTTATGAGACTAAGTACATGCGCACAGTTTCTTCCACATATATCCGTCTTTTATTGTGTTTCCTCCTCGTAGAAAGTTCGGCATAACTTGCTAAAAAAAATGCTGGAAAGCATTCCATATTGTGCATGTAGAATTCCCGCAACAGAATTTTGCTAGAAAATTACGGGAAACATGAACAAAAGACAATTTTGACAAAAAAATTTGACGAGGCAGTAGAGAGATAGTATTGGTTGAGGAGGTACAATCGGAGCAAGTTGGTATGGTCTTGAAATGGTTCAATATTTATCAAAATATGATTCCTTGTTCTTTTTTTCGAATTATAATCTGCAATATCACTGTTATAAGAAAGAAAGATAATAAGCGAGCTGTAGGCCTCCCCCCCCCACAGATGTAATGTATTCAATTACATGCTAACTACAAGCAAAGCGATTGACAAAGGAGAGATGACAAAAGGAAGAAACTTAAAATACACCAGACGTTTCGACTAATCATTTTATGTTATCCTTTTTCCTAAAACGTCTTCATATTTGAACTAAAAGCAATTATACATTGCCTCTACAAAATGCAGTTTCAAATCTATTATTTGAAGTTTCTGCGTGATCACATGTTTTCTTTGCAGGCGTTTGTTTTTCCTTTCACCTGTTTAATTGATCCGTTTCTTTTTATTCCACCCAAACCGCTGAGAAAAATTGACGAAATGATGGTTCGAAACGTCTGGTGTGGGTATTATAAGTTTCTGCTTGTCATCTTTTTTTTTTGTCAATTGCTTGCTTCGTAAGTATCTGTAATTGAATGTATTACATTTTTTTTTTTTTTTTTTTTTTTTTTTTTTTTTTTTTTTTTTTTTTTTGTATTTTGACCTGTAGCTCGATTATCATCCTTCTTTCTTATTTGATAGCTTAGCCAGCCAAACGGCACTCAAATGTATCACAGTTATATATGCATATGCATATGCATCCTAGGCTGTCAGAACAGGGGTCGCCTAGCAATCAATTACAGTAAGTGCGTAATAATAAAGCGTTTCCTTGCCGTTTATGAAGAAATACTGCATTAGTGAACACTATGTGGCTGTTAATGATGTTGTATTTTCCAAAACGTCGATTTTGGAGAGTGGTTTACCTTAATGCCAGCCGCTTATTGTACCTTGATCTCACAGTGACCTAGAAATATTTTTCATTTTTTTAAGTTTCCATATGCTTGACTCGGGAGAGATTTCCTCTCTCTAGCTTTGGATTCTGACAGGTTTTTATTTAGGGGAAGAATATTGTATTTGTATTCGAAAAACAACCTATAATTAAAACAAGGAAATCGCGTGGCTTCTTATCTACCTTTACGAACTATACCTCAAGCAGTTCGCTAGTTATAGAGATCTCAAATCGCCCATTACGAAAGCACAAGTGATCATCTTTTTTATATTATAAATTTGAGAAGGTTCATATAAACAATTTCTGGTAAAAACATTGTATGCGTAGTCTGATATCTGCTCCATTCATTCCCTATTTGGCAAAATTTAGTGCATTGTCCTTAATTAGGCAATGAGCTAACCAAAAGAGAATCAAGCTGCTCATCGATTATTTTCACCTAGGACCGATCAATGTACACATGTACTTTTATTTCAATTATTTATCACAAGTCATCTTAAGAGCCCATGTATACCTAACTGTAAATAAACGTATTACTCTTTCATATACCTAACCGCTGTTCAGACCTATTATTCATTGTTTGAATGAGATGTTTGAGTTGGCCAAAAATTGGTCTGATTGTCCACTCATTTGTGAAGATATAGCCCATAAGCCCATGCCTCATCGTTTTTGGACGATAGTCGTTAAGTATTCACAGATGTAGCGTGCAAGCAAGCACTCATGCTGACTCATGCCAAAGTGATTTTTTTTACGAGTGCTAGGAGATAATCATTGTGACGCAAATGCACCACCGTGGTTGTTTCACAGCTTTAAAAAGTGTAAAAACTTAGCGTTTTGAAGCCGACAAAGTACGCAGAAATTCCCGAAAACTGGTGTTGATGAAGCAAAAAACAGTGAAAAGCGTGCAGCATCATGTGCAATAAGCATGATTATAAGTGATCGGCATCAGCACACGGGGAAGTCAGAAACACTACAAAAAAAAAAAAAAAAAAAAAAAAAAAAAATTGAACAGAGAAAACGGATGAAAATCTAAAAAAAACACAATGTTCTGGCCTCGGACCTAGAACGCTCCTCTCTCCCTTCCCCATCTATGATAGTTGGATCTATTTTTCTCGGAGGGATCATGTAATAGATCGTATTCGATGAAGGTTCGATGTACGGTTGGTTCAAAACAATATAACATAACCCCAAACGAAATTTTAGGATATAAAAAGAAAAAACTGGAAATGAGAAAATTCCTGACAATTTTACTTTACATTGCCATTTTATTCTCATAAGAATCAGAAATCTATCACAATAGAAACCCGTTACCTTAGATTACTCAATTGACTTTTGAGGCTATGTTTACATGTTGAACCGGTCAATATAAATACGATCTCACCTATTTGATGTATCAAATACGATCCATATATTTACAGTTAAGCTGATTGATTACAATAAATAATATTACAATAGTTAAACAACGTAACTTATGTTAAAATTCTACTTCAAATCTTTTGCAGTAAAAGTATAACTCTTTTCCGTTGGTGAAGTAATCGCGAGCAGGGCCGGATTAAGGGGGTGGCCATATCGGCCGTGTCCCATGGCGGCAAATCTAAGGGGCGGCAAAAATTTGCAATTTTTTAAAGTGTAGATATATACAAAATCGGATTTATAAAAACAAAATTACAAACGAGAAAAGGCGACAAAATCTCTCATTTCCTGAGAGTAAAGTAATTTGTAATTTTGTCGTCTCTTAATGATACGAGGGACGGCACCCTCAATAAGCCGAGTTACGAGAGAAACCAAACACGCAATTTGGCCTAGAACGGCGCGACTGAGAGAGAAATGATAACAAGGACTTGAGATGAAAAGGAGAGGCCCTCGGCGCGGCGATCGGCATATAACATGTATTGGCGCCTACAAGACTGCACGAATACTTCACTCGTTGCGTCCAACACAGTGCGGTCATTGCGATCAGCGTGAAACGCATAGCGCCTACAAGACTGTGTGAATACTTCACGCATTGCGTCCAATGGTCCGTTCGGTGCGGTCTGCGCGGCGCGAAGGCGGAAGTTAAAATCATTGAACCACATTTATGTTTGTTCTTTCATAATTTTTTCGTTCATTTCTTATGAATGGAAGGCCTTGTCCACACAGAGATAGGTTTACGGAACTTAACTTTCGCGGAAAGTTAACTTTTGCTAGTAGTGTTGACAGGGCTTTCCCAAAAAATGTGTTCAACGCGAGTAAATGCGTCTTATGCACCCCTCCCCCGCTGGCCCGTTCATTTGATGGTTTTTATCGAGTTTCCAAATAAATGAGAAGGGGGCGGCAAAAGATAGGCGGCCCGTGGGCGGCAAGTAGGTGAATCCGGCCCTGATCGTGAGTAAAAGAAAAGTACAGAAAAGTGAAAAATTAAATAAATTTCATCAAACCTAATTGTTGCAGTAATATTCCCATAGGACCTGTTTTACTTTTAACTCTTGGGCAAAATAGATTCAGTACAGAAGTAGGGGGTCTCACTCGGCCCCCGATTCAAATTGCAGCTCTTGTTTTCTCTTTGGTTAAACCTCAAAATGCATCTGAGAGAGGTCAATAAATTGAACCTCATTTTGCAGTGGAAAACACCTATTTCTGGTTCTATTTGGAAAAAAACTTAAGTGCCGCGCGCCTTCCTGTGCGATTTTATTCATGAGCAGGAAAATGAATTCCTGATTGCGTAATGCGGTCTAATGAACCAAATTTTTCTAGGCGAGAAGCCCTCGGAACTACCGTTTGTACCCGGAAGATCCACGCCTCTCCTGGAAGAGTGGGGTTCAAGCCACAATGAGACAATTGCTCTGGGCGCTTTTACTAATTTGCAGGAGATTTTTAAAACGTCTGTTATAAAACGAGATTTCAATATTCAGAAGGAAAGAAGAACTCATGTGTTGAACTTTATGCATTTATTAACAGTCAGTTGTTGCAACAGACGAAACAACGTGCTCAAGAAAATGTTGGCAAAAAATAAAACATATGAAAATCTTCATTTAACAATTAGCCTCGACGGGTGCCGATCAGCAGGGGCCAACTCGGTTATGCATTATTGTGAAATTGCAGGAACGCAATATCTCGGTTTGCGACGTTACAAACTTCCTGTCATACTTATTTTTAAATGAAAAACGCTCAACGCCATTTTTTTAAAAACCTCCCCGATTTTTCTTCTCTGCATTCGTGAAGAATAATCTGCGAGGCTCTCAAAGCGATAGCGTTGATCTGTTCTCCATTCATAAAATAAAATGAGAGTATAGAGATTTTGAAACACCGTAAACGAGATGGTTTCATCGTCGTCTTGGAGGCGAATTCGATTGTTGAGTTGAGCAGACGTGCCCTTCTGCAATCAGGAACTACGATTTTTGGCTCATCCGTAAAAGCACTTATGTGCATAGGGCAACGAGTGGTACATACATTGTTCCCGAGCTGGGCAAGACATCGTAGTTCCTAATTGCAGAATGAAGTCTAAATCTAAATCTATCAAACAGTGGTAGTTCCAGCCGGTGGCGGGACGTTGATCACGCTGATGGAGGCGACGGTGGAGCAACCACCAAAACAAGTGGGGGCACAAGCCATGTAGCCGGGACTTCCGAACAGGTTGAAGAGGGACACCGGGCACCCGTTTCCGTTGTCGGCGAGGACCCCCGTGAGCGAACCGCCTAGCAGCACGAGGGCGCAGCACACCGCAGCTAGACAATTACCAGTCTGAGTTCTCATCTTGGAACTTGGTCGTCGGAGAGATTCGTAGACGTCCAGTGGCTTTCTGTCTTTCTAGCCGTCCTCGCTGGAGAATTTATGGAGCAGCTAACAAAGGCATTGCAGTCTTGTCGGTTCGTCAGCGCTAGGTCCTTCAAGAGACAGTCCTCCTTGCCGTACAAACATC